TTCAGTTTTTGCATCTCTTGAAATGTACGTAGTGATTCGTCTTTCTTTTTGGTTCTTAGATTAATAGCCTACCTAGCATAGGAAGAATATCAATATGGTAGTAAAGAGTAATAAAACGTAGTCAAGGAAAACAAAAAGGCATTTTCAAACACGAGAAACGCTTTGTGGTAAATATTTGCAGTAATACCGGTTGGCATAATGAAACCTTGCAGAAAGCATCTCATCTGCTCATTATTTATGAAAAATTCAATTAATTTCCTCTGTGCAATGCGGTTTAAACATTGTATTTAGGTTTCTTTCAAATTGTATCATAAAAATTTGTTTCAGCCGACATCGAATTTAAAAATTGTTTCCATGTATTGCTTTTGTTCTTAGGTTTATAACATACATACACAAACTCTCACGCCTGTTACGAAGAGGTGTTGACAGAGACCACGGTCTTCCATTTGCAACAATCCTAATACAGTTCTCTTGCTACTTTCACTTCCATATACCAACACTTACATGCTCGCATAAAGATACTCTTGTTTGTTTGACTTTGAAATATACTCTTGTGAATTTGTTCTTTCTTTATGCAAGTCCAAATCATTGAAGCATTCCCTTCTTAATGTAAGTCACAACGTCTTCTTGCAAACCACACTTTTTTCTTATCACACGACGCACTCTATAGTTTAGTGTCATTAATTTTAATTATTAAATATTTTTATTAAATTAATTAATTTATGATAATATTAATAATTATAATTAATAAGTCAATTTGAAGTATTTAATTTTCGTGTATATGCTGAATATAAATATACGAGTACACCTGTCGTTATTACTGTTTTGTCACGCTGATTCTGTCCGTTTTCCCGGCCTCCAAATCGAAAAAAAAACGTGTACCATAAATTTTAAACAATTATATTTTATGAAAACTTACTTAACTAATTTCATTTCATGGTAATTAATTTATCGTTCTATAAGTAGCTATAACAGCTAAGATTTTATATTATGTATGATTAAACAGATATTTTTTTTTCATTTTGTTAAGCTGGCATGCATTGCCTATTAGTAAAATCCAATCCAAAAAATTTTAGAATTTAAATATAAAGAAAATAAGTTTTTGATAAAAATCATAACTTTGATAAAAAACAATCGAAAGTAGAACTTATATCTTCTCCTCCTGTCGGCGAGCCTGCTCCTACAGCATCATCATCAGAGCAACTAAGGCAGTTGCTGCAGGTGTAGGAGCTTTTAAAAAAGGTTAAAATACCAACTAGAACTTTCAGTTTCAGGCCAATTAATGAAATAAATCTAAATGAATTCAATAATGATTTACATGCAATCAACTGGAACGATGTAATTGAATTACCTTCAGTGGATATGACGGTGGAAAAATTTAATTCAATGATGTTCTCTCTCTTTGATAAGTATGCAGCAGTGAAAACAATAACTCTAAAACCAAAATATTCACTGCCGTGGGTAACCGATGTCTGTAAAATGATGATCGATGAGCGTAATATGGCTTACGATGTCTATAGAAAATCCGTATCAGACGAACATAAAAAATATTACAAGGAGCTCAAAAGTCTAGTGTTAACAAGTATTGTAGGAGAAAAGCGGGCCTACTTCAATAGTTTAGTTAATTCTCAAGCTAAAAATAGCAAAATATTTTGGAAAAATTTGAAGGAAAAAATTTTGGTTGACCCCTCGAAAGACAATTCTATTGAAATAGGCCAAAAGCCTCCCTACTTCAATTAACCAAACAAAATTAATGATCATTTCTTGAATATTCCGGGAGACAATGTAGTTTCCAAGATAAAATTTTTTGAACATAACAAATTCCATACAGAGGTATTTAAATTAGCTCCCGTAGAATCTTCTGTTGGACACGATGGAATTAGCAGAGATATGATATTACTCTCTCTTCCTTGCACCTTGGATACAATCACGGCTATAATTAATAAGTAAATTAAGACGGGTACAGTTCCTGATAAGTGGAAGGAGGCACTAGTGGCCCCAATACCCAAAAAATGAAAACCCGATCGAATTAAAAGATCTTAGGCTCATCAGCATTTTGCCATTCCTTGCGAAACTGCTGAAGAAAGCTATTTGCGAACAGTTGACAAAATTTGTTGAAACGACCAACACCTTGCCTCATTTACAATCTGGGTTTCGCAAAGGACGTGGCACATCGACTGCTTTACTCGATGTCACAGACAATATATTAGCTGAACAAGATTCCGGACACAGTACGATTCTAACGCTATTAGACTATTCCCGCGCTTTCGACTGCCTAAATATTCACCTACTGCTTGTTAAACTGTCATATTATGGTTTAGACAAAAATTCGGTCAAGTGGTTCAGTATTTACTTGAATAATCGGTACCAATCAGCAAAATTGGTAAAAAGTGATAGGTCTATAGTAAGTTCTCACCCAAGGCTTATTAATCGTGGTGTTCCTCAGGGTTCAATACTTGGTCCACTTCGTTTTATAATTTACTGCGTTGATCTTGTCAAAGTTATAAAGTATTCTACGTAGCACTGCTACGCTGATGATGTGCAAATATACGTGGCGGACTCACCAGATAAGTTACTACAAGCTGTCACACGGCTTAATGAGGACTTGGACAGAATTGCTAACTGGTCAATAATAAATGCCTTGTTTTAAACCCTTCAAAGTCAAAATATATGGTCATGGGCACAAAGATGCAAATAAATAGAATTCGTGGTGACCTAGATGTTAAGATTAAAGGTAAACATATAATGCGCATGGATGAAGCCAAAAGCCTTGACATTACCTTCGACACTATTCTAAGATTTTAAAATCATGTCCTTAATATGGTAAAAAACTGTTTTTATCGCCTAAAGGTTTTATACCAAATCCGTGACCAACTTTCTGTACCATCACGCATTACTATTTGCGAGTCATTGGTTTTGTCTAGGCTCAACTACAGGGATGTTATTTATGGACTCCGGATTTTCAGCAAAACAAAGCGACTAATACAACGCGTGCAAAATGCATGTTGTCGGTTCTGTTTTGATGTATCTCCCAGAAATCACATTACACCCTTTCTGAACAATGCTTCCATGCTCAATATGGACTCACGTAGAGAGCTATATTTAGGGGGACTAGTCTTTAGTGTTATTAAGTTCAAGAAACCAGAGTACTTGTATGCAAAGATAAAGTTTGCTAAGCAAGCAAATTCTGGAAAACAACTGAGATCCATAAGATCAGCACTCCTATATTACAGCCATAAAACAGCGGCATTTAACGGCAGTTTCCGATATATGGCAACGAAGTATTTGAATAACATCCCACCACCAATAAGAAATCGTAACAACAACTACTAGTTTAAAAATAAATTCAAAACATATCTTCTAGATAAACAAAAACAAGGTATTCCCAAACACTTCATTTGCCAGCTATAAACCATGGCATGTTATTTTCTTTTTTCTTTTACTAATTCTTAATGGTTTTTAAGTCATTAAGGTACTAGCCTTAATTGGGTACGCAGTCTTACACATCTTTTCCGTAATTTTTTACTAAATTAAACCCAAGATATAAATCATATAGCTAAAAGGACACATCTTTCGGACATCATTACACTACATTAATATTAACGTGCAAAAAAAATACTTTTTTCCTTATTTCTTTTTGATTGTACTATTGTGCTCATTTTCTTCTCGCCACCCCGAGGGTAATAGCTGAAAATCAGTGTTTGCTCTCTGAGCAATATTAATCACTGAGCTATGACCCATTTGTTTAACTGCAATACACATGTATATTTAGATCATAAGTTTATGTATATTTTTTTCCATGATACTTTGATTGTATATCTAGTTTAATTACTGAATTTACGTGTGTGATTGGAGATACAAATAAACGTTTTATCTATCTATCTATCAAAAAATTCCATAAATATCATGATCGTCATCATTACAGCCCTCCACAAGTCCACTCCCAAACACAGGCGTTGCCCAAAGAATACTACAAAGCACGGTCTTGAGCCACCTTCCATCCAGCATCCATCGACTTTCTATTTGTCTCACCTGGTCGTCACTTCAACTAGATAGGGGTCACCCTACACTTCACCTACCGGTACGAGGCTGCCACTCGAGAAATGTTCTTCTTGGTTGTCGGTTCTTCGAGCCATATGGCCGGCTCATTGCCACTTGTAACATATATACGTAGTTTCAATATAAAAGCATATTTAAACACGCGTCGAATTTAAATGATATGGAATTAATCACATTAATTTATGAAAATGTGGAATAGAATAGACTAATTTTTATTCAATATAGATAACAAGTAATTATTATTGAAAGTCAAGTTTTTACTTTACCACTAGTTCGAAAAAAACTCTGTCCTGGGAAGAACCAGCAAGAAACCGAGTGGGACTTTTTTCTAAATAAATTTTACAATGTCAATGGTCACTAAATATTTTCAATATTTATTTTAGAAACAACATTGAAGCGACCACCTCATCCCAGGGGTTATTATCAACCCTTTATTCATTTATTTCATAATAACCTTTTTTGTATAGTTTTTGGTTAATTAACTAAATAAACTTGGTAATAGAGTGGCCTTGTATATTTTCTGAGACTGAGTAATTTTGTATTCTGGGCTGATAATTGTAAATCACAGAATAGGAACTGGTTCCTGTTCGCATCTTTGATTAAAATAGTCAATGAGAATGGCAACCAGATAGATACAATAACAATTAATTACTTAACAAACACACATAATGCGGCTGATAGCATACATGGTAATATTGAAAGAGTTTTCCATAAAACAAGAAATATATACGGTTTTGACGATTGAAGGATGTAATCATGAATTGCAGAAAAAAATCTGCAGATTCTAGAAATTAACGCCTTAGAGGAAAAATTTAACTAGGTCAAAAAGAAAAGACAATAGTCAAAATCTTCTAATGTACCATTTGTCAAAATTGTTTTACTTAACAAAGGTAACAAGTTCTCAGTTTCGAAGAGGATCATGAAATATGTTCTACCGAACTATGAAACAATTTGAGTACAAAGAACTTGACTTTTTGCAAAAAAGATTGGACATTACCAGGCAGACAGAAAAAGTTTTTAAGCAGCGCTGTATCAACCCGATTAAAAAGGAAGCTATTCTGCACCAATTAGTGCCCTACATACCAGAAAACTGGCGAAAGTTTTGGCTAAACCTGCAAACAGATAATGACACGAGTGATTTAGTGATGCAAGAGGAATCAAACCTTGAAGATATTAACTAATGGATAAACACTAATATCTTCAAGATTAACCATGCAAGAAGTAGATGCATAGACTTTATAATCTATGCATCTACTTCTTGCTTGCTTATCACTTTGCCTGACCTGGGAATTGATTCAAAAAATATTTTCGTGAGAAGAATTAAAGATTATTTCATTAAAATTTCTCAATTTAAAATTCAAATTGTTTTATTTTGCACCATGATTTCATACTCAACTCAACTATGTAAAAATTTTACTAAAAAAACTAAACAAAAATTGTTTTGAAGTTCATTAACAACCAGAATCACAAAAAAACACTCATACTTTTATGTTCACTTAGTTAATTATTTTTGTGTGAATTTATTTGCAATCTTGAAAACAAAGTAAACTCTGATACTTTGATATTGAATGGTAATATTAGGTTGTTTTTTTTTTTTGCAATTTGATAAACAAACATTTAAATTTAAAACAGAATTAAAATAAAAAGCAAAATTCTGCTGCTTATTTCAGATGAACCTATTTTTTTACTAATTTCAGAGACTGATTTTAAGTATTACAGGGAAAGGTACGCTTTTAATAAACGTTGTTCTAGTTTCTGCCCCTCCTGAAAAATGTTACTGTTTGTAATTACTTTGTTTATCGCTAGGGCAGCCGTTTTATTGAAAAATACTAAAAATATTTGATATTATCGCCTCGCAACTATAGGCTTGATAAAACAGTATGAGGTATTACATCAGATATTTCTAAGGATTACAATGAGAAAATCCTAAAAATTATCGTCCATTTCTTGTGGTTCCTAGATGTATTAGTCATCCGAAATCCTAACAACACTATAGGTTATACTGTGTATAGAAAAAGAGCCATAGAAACCGATATTTAAATGGTGAATCTCACTATCATCCTTCACAGTTAGTTACCGTGGGCAAATCTTTGTTACAGAGAGCACGAGGGATCTGTGATAGCAAACACCTGGCCGACGAGCTTCAGCACGTCAAGCAGGTTCTGCAGGAAAACAAGCTTCGGGTCCCGCGGCTACGTCACAGTGACCGAGTGAATCTGGCCACAGTCAAGCGTGTGCCTGCTATACTACCATATGTCAGAGGTGTCACAGACAAGATTGGCTACATCTTGAAGCGAGCTTCTATTAGAACATTCTACAAGCCGCCGAAGAAGGTTAATCATTTCTTATCATCCGTCAAGTGTCATATTCCTCTACAAGATGCAGGAGTGTACAAGCTTGGTTGTGATTGTGGTGTCTCATATATAGGGCTAACAAAGAGATCAGATAGAACCCGCGTAAAAGAACATGTAGCTGACGTGAAGCATCAACGTTCCGGGAAGTCTGCAGTTTGGATCATATCCTAGATGGCCCCAACCATTACATCAGATTTGATAGACCACAAATCCTCGCGAAAGAACATCGATTCCTACCAAGGATGATACGTGAGGCTATTGAAATTAAAAAAAACATCCTAATTTCAATAGAGAAGGAGGCTGGGTACAACCACCTCCTTGGGACCCTATAGCTAATAAAATTAAAACTAAACCCAAGCATTACCATTGCAAGACTCCAAAACACAGTTAGTTCATTCTGCGTAGATCGAACCAAAGACAATGATTAAAAAGCTGAAGGTACTCCGGGTTAACGTTGACATCGGGACGTCAGTCACCTCAGTCCCCCGTGACCATGGGTGCTGGAAAGCACCCAAAACGTCGGGTATGAAAAGTAAAATAAATAAAACGCGATAAAATTCGTAAAAGTAGTTTTAATCATATAATGTATAGTGTTCGCGTAAATATAAGAAATCATAATCCATCAATCCATCTTACCTATTTGTGCTGCCAAATAGCAGTACTTACACTGCTGTAATTTTTTTTGGGATAAGGGTGACAAACGAGCACACAGCTCATCTGATGGTAAGTGGATGCTGTAGCCTATAGATATTTACATTTAACCTGGACTAAGAATCAAAATGCAGATGCAGGACTAATATGGAATGCCTCGATTCCAGCAAAACGGGTACACGGTTCTTTACACTCACAATACGATACACAGCAGCATTGAGCTGCAATTTCACGCTGGTTCCCTGTGAGAGCGTGGTACTTCCCCCGTTCGAGTCGACCCATATATACCACAACCGTAATATAGTTGACGCGTGGCCGTATAAATACAAGGTGAGAATGCATCTGCCACCTTCTTTGTTTGAAATTGGTTGTAGGTGTCCATGGGTTGCAGTAGCTACTTACTAACAGGTTGATATTTAATTTATTTGACACCTTGATTCGTAAAAAGACCGTTAGCGGTCAAGTTGACACAGCTTGCAATTGCATTCAGCTTGGAACGATCGTCAGTGTTCTACGGTGGCAGTACGATGGTCGATGTCTCAAAATTTATAAGTTGAAGGAATTACGGCATGGGCGCTACCTCGCTTGGGTACACGGCAATTCACGATGTGATGTTGGAACCTGTAGTCCGACCATACCGTTTGCGAATTGGTCAAGACTTTCTGCTTATGTATGAAAGTTCCCGCCCTTATATTTCAAGAAATCTTTACATATTTTCCACAAAAATTAAGATTCGTGACTCCTTATTAGGACAACCTCCATCAAACTATCATTGATACAGGATAGTGACCATGTCGAACATTTTTAATAAGTTAAAAAGCTTCATTTGTTACTTTTTTATTGTGTTCTTCATTTTAAAATACGCACCAGATATCCGTACAGAATGCGTTTTGACGTTCAACTCTCTTTTCTTGTTATTGTACCCAACAACCATCGATAGTAAAGGGCGATAGCTTAACAAGTATATATCTCAAAGTAATCAAATGCAAGATATATGTGCGTTAATTCAATACCTACATAAGTGTTAACTTTAATGTAATTTGAATTACTGATCAATCAACGTGTCAATATGATCATTTGAAGTGTTTGCTCATCTCAATATCACAGAGGGACTGAAATCAAGGATGCTTAAGCAAATAGTCTTAAGCAAAATGCCATGGTATATCCACTTTCTATCTCCATACACGAAGTTAAGGATTTAATGAATATTAATCTATTACGAAATGCTACAAATCTAAATTTAATTTTAAAAAATCTTTCAGTGTAATATCGATACAGAAAATTCTTGGCACCCAAATCCCCATAAATTAAATCGTAATGTTATGTAAACAGTATAAATAAAAATTTATTACATACGTAAACAACATCTTATATGAATATAAATTTGACCCTTATTTCCTGTTAGAGAATTACTTGACAAGGTACTTTTTAAAACTGCCCAAGGTACTGTCCATGCTGTTAGAATTTTTATTTGGTTATATAATATATCATCGATATAGATTCCAAAGTAACTATTTTGAAAACATTGTTCATCTTTTTGTTGAATGGAGATGGAAGGAACTTTTACTTCTATAGGTATAGTGCTACGTAGAGGTCTAAGGATTAGAATACATAATTTACATAATCATGTTATCTATTAAAGGAGTTGGTTTGGACTAACTTATTAATATATAATGTACAAATATCTATAAAAATTTAAGCAGTGAAGCTTGTAACGCAACAATAGCCGTGGTAATGCGCTTGTGTATATACACTGCGTGAGCAACCCGAGTTCGATCACAGACAGCACCTAAGAAATGATTAATTGCGGTTTTATACTGAGTGTTGAACGTGCTTAGCAGTGAAGGAAAACATCTTAAGAAAGTATGCAAATCTAAGATATTAAAAAAGAACGTAAACATGTGAAGTCTACCAAATCGCATTAAGACGATACGACAGACTAAAATCCACTTATAATTAGTGGAGGCTTATGCTTAGCAGTGAGAAATGTGTATAGCCAGTTTCCTTATGTTTATACACAATATTTCTTAGGTTTTAAGTGACATTAAATTTTATTTTTACTCGTTTACTACGATGCAAAATGGCGTTATAGTTACATTTTTTTAAATATATGTGTCCTTACATAATCGATGATGATATTTATATTACTCATAATAATATGCAAAATACTTTGAAATAGGGGATCACAATGTAAAATTGAATTTCTGAAATTATAATAACGGTTTTTTTAATAGCACCAGTCTGATTTAAGTGCAAACAAGATTCACTCTTTAAATTAAAAAGAATAGCAACAGCTCCAAATGAAAGACATGGCAAAAGCGCCATAGGAAAATATTCAAAACGATAATATTTATTTCACGTGTTAAAGGTCTTACCACTTTTTCCTTTAAAACGCATGATTTTGTTGTAAAATGGATTTGAAGCATAAAAATATTAAAGATCAATTTTTAGTTCAACTGTACCAAAATTTGAAATATATAGACCCTTTTTGTGGCAAAATGTAAACAATATGTTTTTAGAATTTTTTATTTATCTCTTGTTTATGAAAAAATAATTATAAATTAGGCTAGGCATGATTTTGTACCGTCTGCAAAAACAGGGTGTAACAGGTGAATGGAATGGAAGCCTGTGGAACTGATATTTTGCAATTTGTTTGATTTTATATTAACATATTATGAATACCACTAATATGAAATAAACTTCAGGTAATAAAATAACAAAATCAAAAATTTTGTACTTAATAAATAAATCAATTGGTGATTGATGGTGCGTGATGGACAAAATGGTGCATCGTTGTGAACGCGGCGGTGTCATTTTGCTCCGCGAATTTAATTTTTTTTTCTTTATGTTAAGAACGTTTAAAATACTGAAACAAGTGATAATTAAGTGAACTTTAAATTTAACGTTGTGTAGAGTATTGTGTTTTAATCTTAAAATACCTATAAACTTTAAAATTGAAAGTAATTGTTAACGAATAATTAACCTACTGCCGCGCCGTTATAAACTGTGACTTATAATTTTGTTAATGTACCCGACGCGACGGTAGTGAATCTTTCCCGTGTCGATTGGAAAAAAAAAACTGTTGTGAAAAAAAAAAAAAAAAAAAAAACGACTTTGTTGCTGTGGATTTTTGGTTCGGGCATTTATTGCTGTGCCAAAATATAATTTATTTATCA